TCCGTGTTTCCTAGAAAATGTTGTGTGTGCCGATGTATCTACAAAGAACAACCACTATCTCTCACCCATTCGAGAGAATGATACCCCCGCATCCAAGAGATGCGTTCAAGTCTTCACATTAGTGACATAAGAACGACAAGTGGCGCTGGATACAACGCTGCTGTTTAGGAGAGGGCTGTCCACGACACATCGTCTCCTTTTTTTTTTTCCCGTCAATTTTCGTTTTGACATGCAAGGAACGTCTTTCGGATATGTACATGTACATTGTTCCAATCGGAGCTTAACAATCATCGACATCATGGTGTACACTGAGAGATTAGTCTTATACGAAGTACTATGATATGGCACCAGCAGGTGATCTTCCACGAGATGCGATCCATCATTCGAACCATGAATCATGCGCCCTTGTGTGTGTGTGTCCAAATGGCATGTATGATACCCTACGTCATACCCTGCAACAGGGCTTGTACACTCCGCTCCATGTTCGCCCTCCGCCAAAAAACGAAAAACAGCAAGGGTTGACACGCGCGAGCGACACACTCACCATAGCAAATCCGACTTGCATGAAGAACACCAACACCGCCGACACAATAATCCAGACCACGTCCAGGTCGGTGGCCAAGGCCGACTCGGCGTAGAGCTGGCCGAGCCGTTCTTCCAGAACGGCCACGCGGAGCGCGAGGTCATCCGGAATAGCCGATGTGTCAGATTCAGACATCTTTCTTGTTGCCGGAGAGCCTGCTGCTGCTGCTGCTACTGCTGCTGCTGCTGCTGATGCTGCCGTAGTTGCGGTTGCCGATGCTGCGGGCACTACCCGTGGTGGCGAAACGCACCGGCGAGGCGTTGGCCCAGAGGTCAACTACCCAGCCGGCCCCAGCCTCCTATCCTTAGCGGTATCCCGTCCGCTGGTGTGGTCTTGTGCCCACGCACAGCAGAGCAGCGAGCGACTAAATAAATCGGCCAGCTATACGTATAAGCTGGTGTTTTGCGAACAGACCGCACAAAATCTAGAGCTCTGTGGCGCGCTCCGGCGTCTCTTCCCGAAGAGGGAGCGCGCCTCAAGCTTCGCTCCCCCCTGTCTCCGCGCACCCTGCCGAAGGACCTGAAGGTCGGTAAGGTTGTCGTTCGTTGTGGACGGAGATAGGAGCAGAGAGGCAAGAATGGTCCAGTGTCCAGTGGGTCGCTGCTGGGATGTGCAACTTGCAAAGGAAAAGAAACAAAGGAAAATAAGGGGAGACGCAATTTCAGTTCGAGTTTGTCGGGAGAGGTGCGGGTATGCCGGCGCTGGCGCGGAGTGACACCCCATCTGGCAACACCATGCTTTGTAGCCGCTAGTACTCCCCACGCAGACGGCTACGTGCAATGAAACCAGCAGGAGACCTCACAGCATGTTGTGTTCAATACGCGCAGATAGTTGATACGCCCTGGTTTTGCTCTAAACCTGGGGAATGCCGTGCATGCCACGAGCGAGAGATCACGACGACTGCGACGACACATGATCCCACGACCGGGCTGATGATGAGCGCAGCGGTCACGAGAGAAACCCATGAAACAGGAGAATCAGAGCAAAACATCAAGGCTAGAGAGCCTTGTTTGGAGCGTGATATTGCGACTGTAACCGGACGATGGAAGGGCCCACGGTCTTAATCGAGCATGCCACCAGTTCTTCATATGCATATATATGTGGTCGTCGCTGTGACACATGTGTACAGCAGTCTGTCTACATGTATGTATGTACGTATCAGAGAACCGAAAGATCTGCAAACAACAGAAGGCACAGGATCGTCTATATACTGCTGTAAATACTGCTGTAGCACGACCTTCGTTGAAGTCTCACGTTGTGGACCTACGTGCGAATAACGAAAGCGGTGGCATTCCCTACGACAACCGTAGACCGTAGTTGTTGTGAAGAAGAGCAAAAGGAAGGCCATTCACCCCGGTGGTCGGTTGGTTGTAATACGTAACTTCCCGATGCACTGCTGTACACGTAGTCTACGCAAGTAGTTGTTGGGGTTGATTCTCTCTGCTGGAGCGAAAAACCTGAAACCCACTGAAGGGGTGGAAAGCGCACACACTGTAACAACACAAAAGAGAGGGGGGAAACAGAAAATGAGACTCTAGACACTCGCGGTCCACCTATCGGCGAGCATGTACTTATTATTATCCGTCAGCTTTTCTTTAGCTGGGAGACATGCATGCACGCGGTCGAACGTCTCGCTGCGAGAACCCCGTGGGAAAGCCTTAGGTCCAGGTGTCGCCGGTTGACCCTTGGCAAGCATGTTTCAGGTTACAGTTCGTTAGTATGTAGATAATGGTGTGTCGAACGACGTTGATATCTTTGATGTAATAACGAAAATCCAGCTGAGTAGCGAAGCGCACGAATTAATATGGTTTTTTACATGATCATAGAGTTGGTTACTCTCCATGTTGCGAAACCTGCTTCTAAAACACTTCTGATAGACACGAGGAGACGAATCATCTTCATCCGCCCACCGTTTGGACATCTGCCCGGCCCCCTACTGTTGGAACAACCTCCAGTCGGCCCTCGTGTGCTAATCAGTGGATTTCACGGGAAAAGGGTGTCAAGACAAAACTTGATGATGGACTTGGCGGCACTCTGAGCGCACTGGCATCGAGCCATGGAGTCAACCCCACAGCACCATACATACGTGGATTGCCAACAAAATCTGTCAGCAATCGAGGGTTGGGTGTGATGCAAGTGCGTCGTTCGCTTTTTCTCTCGCCCTGTCTGCCAATAACCTTGCAAACGAAGAGCCCCAGCGGTGCTCTGCAGGCGGAGCAACCGGCGCGGACTCGGAAGAACAATGCGCCTCGTTAACGCTGGCGACTTCAACGACGTCGTGCGTCAGGAGAGGTGCAAGTGAGAGCACCAACCTTACGCGGAAGTCGCCACGATGCCAAGCAGTGTTGGACGCCTGCTTAATGTGTCCTGCAGCCGCGCACCGACGGGCTGTCTGTAGACGATCAGTACTGCCCCAACCACTTCTCATCGTGACCGCGTGTGCTCTTCGAAACGATCACTGTTGTACGTGGCGCCCGGAACCTACCTAGGGTTAGCACATGAAAAAGTAGGAGGAGAAGAGCAGCGGCAAGGGTGGGAGAGAATGGCGGCGACTGATACCGTCCTTTTGGAATAATAACTGAATCGAGAACAAGAGCACCAGGAATTTCGCGGCCATCGCGCGTACGCTGAATCGACAAGATACCTCTTCCAGGTCTTCGCATCGTCCATGTCGCCGACGATGCCGAGAACAGCGACACTTTGAGAACAAATGAAAACGCGCAGCTGCTAAGAGGACGACCCCGTGAAAACGACAGCTGCTTGCCGGTTCCACCCCTCCAGCTGCCACCCGTCCTCCTCGTCGACACCCGTGATATCGGACAAGCAGGATTGGCGTGAGGTGGAGACGGGCGTGGAGAGATAGAACCGCGAGTAACTCGAGCTGATCTTCATCGTCCGAGAAGAGCGACGACAACAGCGCCCACAGCCATGGTGGTTGCGCCCGTGTTGATATAAGCAAAAGGCCACCAATCCGGGTTGGCCCGTGATTGGGCGGGAACCGCACCGTACAGAAGTGAAATGGTTTAGATCTAGTTATTTCTTTCACTGAGAACACGGTGAAACAGTGTAATGTCGGAGGAATCGGCGACTGCTGCTGCTGCTGCTGCTGCCTCTGCTGCTGATCTTCCTGCCTCATCGAAAGTTAGAACAGACCGGGCGCGTACAGAGCCACAGCAGCGGCGGGAGAGGGGCTCCGCGGTGTTGTTATCACGAAGAGGCGTCGCACGCCGAGGAAGAACCCAGCACGGGCAGCTTGTGGCAGAGTAAGACGAGATAGCGGTGACGTTGCAGCGACGTCCTCCCACGGAAAGTCCAGGGACATTGTTTCCGTCACCCTTCCTCGCTCTCGCACACCGGCTTAAGACTTATTTCAGCTGCAGCAGCAGCAACAGCAAGCCGGTCACGAGGGCGCAAAAAGCAGGTCGGAATTAGTTCACGGGCTGAAACTTGACAATCGTGGCTGCTACCTTTCACTGCTGTCTACACGTGTAGCTTGAGTTGACCCCGTAGGAGAAGCTAACGTACTTCATGTCCGACTTCCTCTGCTTCCCATGAGGAGACGAGGGGGGCATGTATGCCAACACGTCGTGCGTCTCGGAGAAACTGTGGACGAGATGCATCCGTTCAACTACTGTACAATTTTTCTTGGATGCTCGTTCCGTTTTGTCGAGAGCATTGCCTACGAAGTTTGCTGTCGCCCCCAGGAGTGTTTTGTCAGGTTCGTTGTTGCCTGTGCCAACCCGCAGAGACGGTACACCTCTGTCGAAACACAGTAGTAGTTGGTGGCGACGACGCAAGTCGTACCTTGGGTGCTACGCGTCATTACAAGGTTTGTTTGAGACCTTCATTTTTTTCCTTGCCGGAGGGGGGAGGAGCAACCAAAATGTTCCCGAGACTCTCGGGTGTGCGGCATGGTTTTTACCGAGGAGGTCACGGGACAAGGAAAATCAGCCTTCAGCCTCACTTTCTGTCACAGGATCCACTTTCTGTCACCGGATTTCTGTGGCAAATTTTCCTTCACAATAATTCTACAGCCGTTCTTTTGGCCGGAATAGGGTTCCTGATCAAATGGGGAATACGTCGTGGGTATGCCCCTGCCTTCAACAATGACACAGCATCCACCATGGCGTGGTGATTCGAACGCGTCCACTTGTATCGGTGATGATGTCGACACATACGCAAGAACGAAGCGACGACGCCAGAAAGATCCGGTCGTAAAAAAAAATCACGCGTTTTATCCGCCCGCAGACGTCCACACGCGAACCAACAATCGCGCTTGATCCTTCTCGCTTCTTTCGTCAATGCTCCTACGTGCGCACCCGCACATGGCGGCAAGGGTTAATTCTCGCGACGACACACGCATCGCTTTCGTTTTTGCGGCCAATCCTTTCGCGAGTGGAATAGAGAGACTCCAATTTCTCAAGATTTTTTCACACGCTTGCGGTACGGATACTCTGCTAAAAAATATTCGGTAGACCACGACCTGCCGTTCTCACGAAATTATCTACGTCTTCACAGTCGTCTTGCAGTGACAGCAGCTCAACCAGCTTCGGCAAGTCGCCGTAGTTCCAATTATGGCATCTTGTCAAAACCTTTCCTCGCACCCCATTTACATCCAAACCAAGAGGACAGAGCAGCAGCAACCCCCCCAGGACCACCCCGTGCGCAGGACCCAAAACACAAGAGAAAACAACTACTTCCAAGTACAATAAACGCCCAACCTTTCTCCCAGACACTCTACATGTACACACACATACCAAGACAATATACAAGACTCCTCAAACCGCTCTTATTTTCTTTCTTTGTACGCATGTTGCTCCTCCAAGCGTTTTCAACGCAATCCCCCGCTGTCGCAGCACAGCAATATTTCTGGTTGCATGCCGCAACTTTAAATCGAACATTAGCTTTTCCTGCTCTGGCGAGTGGCCGTGCTCCATGACAAACGCTCAATTCGACGCGCCCCTATCCGTACCCCTGCCCCTCACCAACGGTCAAAAACACAGGTTATCTAGGAACCCGTCATGCCTACCGTGGTGCAATAGTGGGTATCACCGCGATGCTTCTTCCCATGTACTTCATGCGCCACTACTCTTCCCGGGGGGGGGGGGGCTTCAGGAAGCAACAGAGAATAACCAAAGGACGACCCAACACGAAACAGATCAAACACCATCGCGTACTTACAGCCCGTGGCTGAGGGTATGCGAGGGGACAACCCGACGCCTTTTAATATTTCTGCGGCATCCCCATCGCCTTCCTCCGCCCCGTTTAAATGCGAAAGAAGGCAGCTTGGCCACACGGCCGTCCAAGATAAAAACATCGATTTTTCTTTTCCGATACACTGGTCGTTTTCCCTCGAGCCTCAATCTGCTCAACGACGAGAGATACTCCTCCACCCTTACAATGCGATATCGAAACAAAGCTATACGCAAGTATGTACAAGCCCTTTGAGAATACATCGGACTACGTCGCTCCCTCGTTCCAAAGAAGCTCAACTCGAAGACAACAAGGAACGATACAAAGCCGGTGTCCACCAGCGCGACGAAACCAGTTTGTACAAGCACCCCAGCTCCGTCGAGTGTTCAAAAGCCAACGACGCGAACAGCAGCAGCAGCAGTAGCAGCTACAATCTACGTCTACTGCTACAGCGTTTAACGGCCAGGATTCCACCCCCCAGCCCAGGAGGCTATCACTTCGTGCCAACAGTGAACCTCCCAATGTTTAATTACGTGCCCCAGCGAGACGGGAAGCTGCTGCGCCGCCAACCCACAAACTGGTCGTCCTCGGCGAGACCCTTCCGAGGGCACGCGCGCCCCACGCTTTTTCGGCGTTGACTTGCACCTCGTAGACGGTGATGCTGCTCATGTAACGAACAGCAACAAGCTTTTGCCGTATTCGTGTTCCGTGTCATATGTTATTCTTCAAGCACGAGGGTACAAAGGGAGAACAAGCCCTTTCGACACTTGTCCTCCTCCTCACAAGACAGCAGACCTTGAACGGTGTCACCGAAGCCCTCGGGCTTAAAAACGCACGGAAGAAACACACGCGCCTCAAGATTGCAAATCTCCTCGTAAAACCGGACCGACCTCCCTCTCAAAACGTTACGACGATCAACTTCACACGTCCCCCTTTGATTTTTTTATGTTTGGAGGTAACTCTCTCTCTCTCTCTCTACCCCTCCCTGTTGGATGTGGGAAGGCAGAGATGCTACTAGACCTCGAACCCTTCTTGTGGCGTACTCGAGTCCGCCGAAGGGAAGTCGTCCTTCGGTGCGGACGCTTCGACGATGCGCCTAACAACAAAAAGAAAAGAAACGCGCGGTTCATCGGAGGGCGGGGGGGGGGATGACGTGGGATGTCTGTCAGAATAGATGCATCTCGGAATCCCCCGTTTGGTCAGCAAGGGGGTCGTGACACGTCCAACAACGGTTGTCTGTGACACCCACGACTCCAGTTGGTAGGCTGGGTCTGTGTGCCATGGCGCGACTCTTTTCGCTTCGGGCGTAGAGTGAGCGCGGGGTCTCGCGAGTAGTCAGTGATAAACAGCACGTGTTTGGAGCGTGTTACAGCAAGTGTTGCAATCCTCACTTGCGGCGTTGAGTGAGCACAACGTTGTCCAGCTGGTCCCTCATGCGCTCCTCCAGGAACTGCCTCTTGAGTTCCACGTGATCACTCGGGATGGATTCCATGGCCTGGTGCACGAGAGAGCGACGCGGTAGGAGAGTAAAAGAGAGACATCGACGGAGGGGGGGAGGGAGGGAGAAGGAAATGCGGCGGGGGGGGCGGGGGCGGCGTGGCAATCATACAGAAGAGAAAGACGGGAAACAACGAAAGAGCAGCGAGAGAGAGAGAGAGAGAGAGAGAGAGAGAGAGAGAGAGAGAGAGAGGGGATGGAAGGGGAACTCGTTGACAACAAACGACAAATTGCCGCGGAGACTCGTCGACCTAGGCCGAGACCATCGTTTCTTTCTGGACGTGCTGTGGGCACGACCAACAGCAAACACTTTTTCTAAGCCAAGACAAGCGTGGTACAGGCCAGCAGTCACGAGTCCTCCCGCAGCTAAAGAAAACGCAACAGTTACAACCAAGGACCCGCGATTCACCTCTTGGGCCCTCGTGGATACCTGCGACACAAAGCAACAAACCGAAACAGGACGGGTCCCTCACCTCCGTGACAAGCTGGGCCTCCAACTGCCGGAAGTTCATGAGCTGCCCCCCGATGTGGCCGGGGTCGATGACTCTGTTCTTCTCGGTGCGGGGGTCCTTGATCACGACGATCGGCCCATCGATGATGGCCTCCACCAGGTCGTTGCCCTGAGAAATCGTTCCAAAGACACAAAAGACACACAAAACGTTCCTTCATATTTTTCGTGTTGGAAAAGGTGCATGAGAAGGAGGAAGAGGAGGAGGAGGAGAATTGCCCGAAATTCAACCTGATAATCGCTGCAAAGACACGGAACACAAGAACGTTCATATTTTTGTGTTACAAAAGGGAGGAGGAAGAGGAGGAGTAGGATAGCCACCTAAAATACAATCATCAACAACAGGAACGCAACGGCGACAACGTACGCAAAAACCCCGGTATCGCCCACGCCCCGTGGGTTTCCAACGAACGATTGACCACGTCGGCTTCCCAAACAAGCACATGCCAGCAACATCGTTTGTTGCACGGGAACCCTGCCGCCCCGCAACAACCGTAGGTGGCCTTCAGGTTGCACCAAACACTCGGCACGAAAGCCACATTCCAACACCAACGAGATACATGCGTCCGCCATATGTACTTGCATCCAACAGCAAACCCGCCATGGCCCAACCAGACGATCCCCCCCCCGCCCCCCCCAAGAAAACACTCCTCGCAGAAAAAAAACAGAACAGCCAGAAAAAACGCTTTTGGATTCTTTACCTTGAGGTTGGGTCCGTCTTCCATGTCGTTCCTGTGCATGAACTTCTCGAGCCAGTTGAGGGTGTAACGGTCTCCGGAGACGCGCAGCTCGGAGCGGTACGCCCTGACGGCGGCCTTGGTGATCATGTCCAGGAGAAGCTTGTAGTTCTTGCCGCGGTAGGGCGAGCTCGTGTTGTTGAGAGGGTCTGTGATTTTTTCCCGTGCGTGTGCGCAAAAAAACGTGGGTTTCATCGGAAATTGTTTCTTCGCCACAAACGAAGGTTGCAGAGAGAACAAAGCTTGTAGTCTGTATTGCTGAAACGACGTTTTTGGGGATACAGTTCAGCGGGGAGCCCGGTTTAGCAACCTGTCACGACGAAATGTGGCCGCTATAAAGGGCAGGTCGCTACACCGAACTAAAAACCGGGGTGCGGCAGTGCCACGTGATTTTGTGGTCGCTAAACAGGGCATGTTGCTACACAGGGGGTCGCTAAACCGAGACCCCCACTGTATTTTTGTGTGCGACAGAGAGGGAGAAATTCCACGCGAAGCAAATGACGACAAATAAGAGCAACCACCCGTATCCCGAGGGGTAATGACTAATCGAACACCGGATCACCTCGTCTCTCTGTCTCTCTGCCTCTATCTCTCGCTTGACCTTCTCCCATCTCTCTCTCTCTCACCGTGGTCGAAGACGAGCTTCCTGTCCCTCTTCTTCGACTCCGAGTCGAGACACAAGGAGTCCTCCCGGTGCCTCTCCACCTCAGAGTTCTCGGCGGAGATGAGGCTCAGGTCTTGGATCCACTCGCGGGAGATCTGTTCCCGGACCTGCGTTGGCCAGGTCGATCGGAGAGTATCGGCGGGACAGAAAACAATGAGAGGTTAATAAAACAAGAGTGTGAGAGACGTGCGCAAACAAGTTCGCTGTTGCACCTCAAAACAAACAAATAAACAACAACTCCACTATTGTTGTTGTTGTCTTCACCTCGAAAAAAAAACGTTCCGTTCTCGCTGCCCAGTACCTTCTTCTGACCGTACTAGCCTAACACTTGACGGGGTCGATTCCCGTGGTCACAGCTAAATGAGGGGACGATAAAAGAAACAACATATCGCACTCTCATGACGCATCTACCATAAGCCGCGCTCTCATTACGCGCGCCAACAAAAACAAAACCCACAGCAGCATTTGCAGATACCTGCATGACTTTGCTGGCGATCTTCTGCGGCTCGATGAGCACGTTGTACTCCATCTGCGTGCGGTTGGCCTTGAGGTACGGGTTGTTGCCCGAGCCGCCCTGCGGCCTCTGCGACAGCCTGCGGACCACCATCTCCTCGGGCTCGGCTCTGAGGAGGAGGCCCAGGTGCTGGTGCCAGCCGATGTCCTGGATGTCGCCGTTGCGGTACGTGAACTGCTTCATCCACTGGGGGGTGAGGTCGTCTCGGAACTCCAGCCAGTAGTACACCACGCTCGCCACGGAGGACTCGGAGAGCATGTTTTTCGCCGCTCTGTTTATTTTAGTCGGGGAAGGAGGGGGGGGGAGGGGGCGCAAAGTGTCAGAGAAACGGTCTGGCGGATACCCTCATGCGGGGTAGATGGCCGATACTGGTAATTGTCATCGGTACAGGACAGACGAATCTCCCATATTTGTTCACCCGTCGTGCCAACGTATGTGTGGTTGTGACAGCAGTATCGAAACGCCAACTTTTCGCTTGCAAGACGCACACGCACAACAACACGCTTTTTGCTCTCTGCCTGCCATTCGTGTCTTCGTCTCTCGCTCGTTCTCCATGCCACGCTTCCTACTTGTGTAAGTAGCTGCCATCTTGGGGTGGGATTCTCACTGTGCTTTTAGCTCGTCCGGACTTCTGGCGTCCTCTCCGTCTCCCGGCCCCCGCGCGCTAGAAGTGGCCATCGCCACGACCCTCCCAACCCTGCTGCGTCTCTCGGCGCTGGTGTTTCGGTAACAACAGGATGTTGGCCCCCACACAACGGAGGGTGAACCGCGTTTGGGACGAGACACACAGACGAGACGGGGGCACAAAGACGAAAACAGCCAAAAGCCGAAAACAGCCACAGGGACAACGAATAGGATTAGTCGCTGGGTGGGTGGTCGACGTCGCCATACCGCTAAACGAGGGCTCCTTGTTCATTCAAAGTAGTGTGCCCCCCAAACTCCTGCTGCTATATATTCCTTCCGAAAGAGCTAACGGAGCAAATCCGGTCTTGGCAGCGCTGCCGTCAGGAAAGCGGACGTGTCCGTCCTGGTCTCAACGCGCGTGCTTCGATACAAACACAAAAAAAGCAAAGGGGCTCCTCCAATGAATGCACCACCCCTCGACGGGGGGGCCAAGGGGTAAGCCTCAAGGATTTTTCTTCAAGCAGTGCTTACCGCTGCGCGTGATGTAGTGGGCAGATGTTCCGAGGAAAATACTGCTGTAGGTAAGGCTTGGTTCCCAGGTCGAGATAAAATGGAAACTGGGGCGAGCAACATGTGTGCATCTCTGGTTGGGTGCGCTTCACTTTGGTGACGCCGCAGGAAATCCGAGGGGGAGGGTTTGTTTCCATTTTCGCGGCAATTGGTTTGATGTTCCAGTGAAACTGCCATTTCTGTTGTTTCAGTTGTTCAGTGGAGAGGAAGCCAGCTGCCCAAGAACACGGAATACTCGACAGCCGCCTCTTCGAATGGAGACTACATACACTCGCAGGTGTTTGTGTTTCGCGTTGGCTGGCAGGAACAAGTCACCGCCCGTTACTGGTGCCTACCGCTCGACGCCCCGCGCGCCTTCTGTTCCTGATTGTGTGTTGGTGTTTCTCCCCTGGTCAACCAGAGCCCCCCCCCCCCGCCGCCCTATCCCGGCGATAATAAATCTGCATAAAAACACGGCTCGAGTCCTGCTGCTGTTCTCGGATTTTCGGCGATCAGCAGCATCATCGTCCCGCCACAGCCCAACGCGGACGAGCTATCTACATCAAGGTGATGAAAATGGGTATGGCGGCTTGTTCCTCGTTTCTTCCGGGCATGCACGAACGACCTGGAGTCCAGAAATCTTAGGGGACAACGTCTGCTGCTGGAAATTGGCCCTCCCCCCGGCGGAGCAACGGGGGTCCCAATACATTTCTCCCACACACGCCCCGCTGTTGTACATACTTGTTAACCTTTCTGTGCACGCTCGTGAGTCATTTTCTTGCGCAAAGAACAATGTACATATATCTTCCGGAAGATATGATGATGATGTTCTCGTAACCGTACAACAGGCGTGAAAAGGGGGTGGGGGGTGCGTGCCACCAACAAGAGGCTGGCCGACCCACGGGGCGAGGTGGACCTTGGTGGGCGCACAGATCTAGAGTATGTCGTCTAGATCTACGCTTTCTCTGTCGGCAACAAAGAATTTTAAGTTTCCGCTGCAACAACAAGAACGATTTTTGACCCAGGTCTCGGAAAAAGGAAATCCCGCGCGCCAGAACCACTCCCTCCCTTACGATACAGCACGGCTTCACTGCTAGACGACGTTAGGGCACAGGGAACCGGTTGCAGTCAAAGCTTGCGAGGGAGGGGGGACGGGGGTCAGGGCGGGAGATGGGGCTCACCATTGCAATCTGCTCGGTGCTTCTGTTGTCGGTGCTGCGGAAAATGGTCGAACAAGTCCGGAAGTTGATGTTGTGGTCGTTGGCAAGCCGGCCCTCGGGGCAACGAAAGCGTGCCCCGTCACGGCCGCCCCAAGCACCACCAGCGAAGTCTTCAGGCCGTGCATGTCTTGATTCCCAGAGAAACAAGCTGCTGCCTTTCGCTTGGCCGCCTGCAGTTGAGGTTGCTTCTCCCCCGCTGCAAGATGGAAGGGTCCAGGCAGTCCGCCGGTATATCCGAGATCCCGCGCGGGTCGTCGGTGCGCGGCGGCTTCTTCTTCGATCAAAGAAAATGCCAGGAAATGCTCAAGCTACGGGCCGAACAATCAGCAGCACAAGGTAGGGTACTCGCGCAGCTAAAAAACCGTGCTTCGAGTGATGTGGTCTTCGGTGGGGGTTGCTTTTCTGTCGGGGTTGGGTGCCTTTTTGATCTGTGATCTTTGAGAGAGAGCGGGGACCAGCGGCGGCGGCGAGTTTCGTGGGCCACGTCACCCCGCCTACAGGACGGTCGGCCAATCAAATTGAATTGCACAGTGAAACTGTAGCGAAAAAAAAAAAAAGAAGGAAGGAGACGAATCCCCGGCGACACAAAGAAGACGGCATCCGGCGGGCATGTATGTGTACGACACCTCAGGCCTTCGTTGACAAGGTTGAAGCACGTTTGCTGCGTGGTTCCGCGCGTAGCGTCGTAATGAACAATAGATTTCCATGCAGGACACGAGTCCCTCGGCGATCCTTCGATTTTTCTTGTTTTTTTGCGTCTTCTTCAACAACGAACGACGGCAAGTATTGTAGGGAAATAGGGAGGATACCCCCCCAGCCCTTCCCCGAATGCGGGCTGGGCCTGGGGGGCGGTTCTAGTGGTGGTACAGTAGATATTTCGATTTACGTGGAGATTCAATGAAGCGTCCTGGATGATGGCAGCAGCATCGGGTGCAACATGACATGACTGTGGATACAAGATATGCAGCTGTGCACCACCACCAACAGCAGCAGCAGCACAAGTTTTGTATTTATTTGATGCCCGTTCTCATTCCATATGCACGAGTTGTCGGCGAGGACCTTGGTCGTCGAGATGCAATTGGATCATTGAAGGAATACATATATGCATAGAAAGAAGTGGCAGACTTGTGGCAGACTTACCAAGTCTTCTTTTGTATTGGACCAAGCTCCACCAGAGTGTGCCGTTCAACCACACATGGAATACAGTAGAGCAGCAAGAAAGCGGGGGCCACTTCCTTCCATCAATCTTTCAAGGTTGTCATCCACGACGCCGTCGTCGTGCTCAAACTCGCACATTTAAAAGCGTACATCTTCCATCCCATCCGTTATTATGTTCGTTTTCATTCTTGTCGACCGCTTCTTAGAGCAGCTCAGTTCGGCATATTACCTCTGAGGCGGGCTCATACAGAGCGGGGCTCTCTGGGCTCTTGCCCAGAGCCTTGCACTCTCACCGATGTTCAAAGCTATGTACACCAGACGGGCGGGGGGGGGGGGGCACAATTGCGTCAACCTATGCTGCCTTTTGACCTCACAGGCTTGAAGTGGTCAGTCGGTTACATAGCGCCGCCATCGCATGCAACAGAAAACATTTCAACCTCAAGTCTCTCTTCCACTCACACGACACATGCGCAATTAAACCTAGGGACTTCTGCGACATCGTCACCCAACACGGGGAGAAGACGGGAATGCAAGCCTAAGCCCGACACCCCACTCGCCCCAGTCCACATCAAGCGCCGCGGGGCACCCCGGCGGCGGCCGTTCCATTCTTGGGGCCAAAGCCTCCGCCAACGCACGCCCCCTACTCCTTCCGCAGGCAACGTTAGCCCTCAAACCACCCCGCGCTTTGACAACCGCCGCGGGCTGCGACGCCAGCGTCGGCGATAGCCCCGGGGGTCGCGGCAGTGGTGTTGTGAGCCTTTCCAACTCGCATAACAGCTCCGCTGCAACCGGTGATGGAGAGTACTCGTCGCCGCCATTGACGTAAACAGCAGCAACCCTGTCGGTCCAAAGCCGTAATCTGGCGGCCCGGAGGGTGGAGCACCGTCTGCGGGCGGACATGGCTCTGGCGGCAGACTGCAACATCACCGTAGCGCGGCGGCAACGAAGGCAGTGCTTCGCCCTTCTCCGCGACTGCACCTGGCGAACAAGCCAACGGCGAAGCTGGCTCGAGAACGGAATGGAAAAGGCGAGGTCAGCGGCACTGCCCACATCAGGAGAGGAAGAAAAAGCTTTAGGAACGGTTTAGAAGCCTGTGTCAGTTCAAGGTTGAGGCTACGAGCAGGAGGAAGAGCCAATTATTTCCCGTGACAAACTTCGGGGAAGTTTATCCAGAGGGTCCAGGAGGAGTACAACCGTAGCGCGAGAACTCAACCTTGTGGACAGTTGAACCAGAACAAGTATTTTCCGTATGCACATAGCTACATATGAGAAATTTCAGGGCAATTGATACCAGGCGTTCAACCGGGCCTTAGTACAACAAGCACTGTGTCAGGTACCCCCCTCACCAGGCTAAAGGCCCAATCGCGCAGGTACTGCCGGTGCCGAAAGTTCTGGTAAGCATGCTGGATTGCCTTCGCGCAGTGAGCATACCGAAGCCTCGTAGCAGAATCGTTCTCGCCTTGTCGCCTGCCTCCGCCCGTATGCAACGCCTGCTGAAGGCTTTCCACAACACTCGGAGACTCGACAAGGGCGGCCGCCCTGTCGCCGTTCCACCCGTTGCCTGGTGGCGGCCCGTACTCGTTGTTTGCTCTTGCGCCGCCGTCGCGACCGCCGACCGAAAAGGCGCTACCGCGGCGGCGTCCCGCTGCGGGTGCGCTGCTTGGACGGCGGCGGCGCTTCCAGCGACCGTTCTCGCCGTTGTTTCGGAGAGTCGCGCCGCAGGTGGTACAGAGGTAGAGAACTTCTGGCGTTGGTTGCCCTGCTGGTTCGATGTGTGTGGTGGCAAGCACGATCGCATGCAGGCACGTCTGTACGTCGACGAGATACAGACTGCCCGTGTGCCGAATTCTCGACTAAACTGGGCACGTTTAGAGTGGAGGAGATGTTTTCACGTGTGGTCTGTCGCATCGTTTCTGTTCATGTCGGTTGACGATAGTGAAGTTGTTATGCGTAGATGATGATGCAACCGGTAGCACCACCATATGATCGGGTGGAGCAGAAGCAATAGAGTGATTCGACGTCGAACAGGAAGCTGGCCTTCAAACAAACGCTTGCCCACAAGGCATGAACCTCTTCAAAAGCGTTTGTCGGGGGCATATTCATTATACTTTGTGACCTGGTGATCCAACTCGCCAGCCGTCCTTTTTCTGCGTTCACAGTAGCTGAAACTTGGGAAGGGTAACAATGGGTAGCCTTTCTGTGATTGTACGTACACTTCTAAAAATGAAAGTATGAATCAGAAACAATCAACGAAACGAAAATCAAAGCAATGCCTACCTTGCGTTGATTTTGACACCCCAGGGTCCACAGCCTCGACGAGGTACTTGACTCCGCACATTCCGCACCCAAGGTATACCTGCGTGTCCTCCATGAACAGCTGTTCCGTAGGCTTGACGACTACGTCTCGGGCGGCCTCCTCAGCTGGCTCGGTCATCGGTGTCGATACCGTCATCATCGGTGGGTCACCCTCGCTCGCAGCAGTCCCCTTCATCACCGGCGCCACCGGAACCATCGCTGGAACAGCTGTGGCCTCCTCGTTGGCTATTTGGGGTGCCGTGGTGGAAAGTATCTGCGAGATCTTCCCCGCTACCGCCGCGTCGTCAGCGTCTTGGTTTGGAGCCGGGTTTGCAGGCTTCGTGATCTCCGATGCAGCTGTTGCACTTGCCGACAGTTTCGTCCTCTCCGGCTGTTCTCTCCTTGCTTTTGGTGCGTCGGCGTGAGCCGGAGGGGCGGCACCCTTAGCCTCAGCGACGCGCACAGCTTTGTCTGCAACCGTAGCTGCTCGGGGCCGAGTTCCTCCGCTCTCGTCGCTGCCGAGGGTACTTGAAAAGGCCGTCACCACCGTCACGTCGGCTGTGGCCAACGCTGTGCCAACTTCGGATTTGCGTGTTGTTTCTGCGTCCATTTCTTCGCCGCCGCTTTCGGTAAGAACAATCGGCGTCACCAAGCTGGTCTCCTCTGATCCCCTCCGTACTGTCACTGTCATCATCCCGGCGGGGGGAGGGGCTTTAGGGTGATGATGGCGGCTTCGTGGTGGTGCAGGGCTCTCTGCTGCTCCTGTCGAAGTCCAGGGTCGGACGTTCTCGGCGGCGGCGTTGTCCGTCTCCCCTTCCCGCGCTATTTCCGCAGCGAGTGAAGAGTTGACTCCGAAAGCGGACGACCAGTTGTCCCAGCCTGACGCTCCTTCGTTGACGTCCCCCGACATCTCTTGTCGAACGCTCTTCTTCGAGATGTTCGGATCCTCGTCCTTTGGGTCAGGATGGCCCTCGTTGGAACACAGCGACGTAGACGATGCTCCTTCCGTGCGATGTTCCGTCGCGTCTTCATCAGTGGTCGATGAACGGAGACCAGATGTTTCGAGTTCCCGGCGTCTTCGTCGGTTGAGCTCATTGGCGGCCTTGTACCGTCGCCAGGCCTGTTGGAGCCGTGCGCTTGCCAATCTCTCGACAGCGGCCTTGTCGCGAGCCCTTCGCTGCTTATGCTCTTGTTCTTCGCGCCGCCGTCGTCTGCGCTGGTGACGTCGAAACGCCGCTTGAATGACTGTGGTAGCCTGCATCATGGCTGTTGCTTCGCGATGCTGCTCGTCCCGGAGTCGTTGAGCTTGCGTCAGCCGTCGACGCGCCTGGGTCAAAGCGACGAGAAGCTGAATGAAGCACATGGGTAGGTATTTTAAGCTCGTAGATGAAGACGTTTGAGTTTTGTTGCGCTTCTCGGTTGATGAAACGAACGTTGGGACAACAGATACCCTGTCAACATTGGGCCCGCTTAAGTAACAACTCCAGTCGAAAAAGTTGGAATCAGATCTACCGGGCACCACAGCACAGCACAGCTCCCACAATCAATACGCGCCGATCGATCATTGTATACCGTAACCACTTATCAGTGTAACCGTGGTTCTGTTGTTGTAGACCACAGCTTGCGCCGTGCACGTTCCCCTCACCTCTTGTCTAGCTCGAAATCGCCGTTGCAAGACAACCGTCGACTCTAGCTCTCGTTGTCGCTTCTCCGTTGCCTTCCGCTCCCTCTCTCGCTGTTCCTCTCTCCGCCGACTCCTCTCTCTCCTCTCGTGGTCCTCCCGTCTCTTGCGCCTTCCTTCCTCCACACGTCGGTCGTGATCCCTCGCCTCCCTGAGGACCCGCACCCGCCTTCGAGCCGCGCACGACAGCCACCCCAGCTGTAGCACCAATGCGGCGTTGACCCTCCGAGCCTCGAGCTTGGCGCAAAACAGGCGCCGAGCCCAGCTCATCCTGAACGCGGCCTGGATGCGGGTGGCGTAGCGTTCTTCCCTCCGAAGCCCCACGACCCGTAAGACGGAGGCATGGGTGTAAGTCCGGACGATGACCTTGCAGACGTCGTTGATAAGCCTGCGGCGGCGGGCCGGCGTTGAGAACGGGTCGTTTCTCCAGTCCCGTGTCATGTCTTGGAGGCTCCGCTGGCTGTTTGCTCTGTGGTGCTGCGCGGCGGTCTTTGAGGAGCGCGACCCCGCGAAACCGGTAGGGTTTGGAGGAACGAACTCAATGTCCCGAGACTTGAGACCCAGTACGTGGTCTCTGTCGAAGAGGGTCGTGTCTCCTCGGCTTCCCACAAATCGGAGGGCGATAAGACTTTGTGGAAGCAATGATGATGACACCCGACGGGGTTGATTTCTGTTTCTCGACGACGATAGCGTCGATGCTATAGCTGACCCATGTAGGCCGCCAATTGAGGCCTGCGAGGGAGACAACATGGCCGAGCCGTTTACAACTGCGGAGGAACCATCTCGGTCGTCACTGTCGCTGGACGAGACTGACGAGTGCGGCCGAGAGTTGGCCTGCGACGACACGCCGGACGAATGCCGTCCAATAGTAGCAGTGCTGGGTATTGATTGTCTACGATCGTCTTCTTCGGTGAAGCTGATGGATACGGCGGAAAAGGAGCCTCGCACTTGAGACTTCGTTTCCATTGGTTTAGATGCCGCCTCCCCTAAGCGCATGTCTGTGTCGCCAGGGCTAGCACTAACCGCAGGTGGAAGAGGTGGCGGCGGAGCAGCTTTTCGAGCGAGTGTTAGCACCCGCGGTTGAGAGGCCAACTTCTGCATGAAACGCATCATCTCGTCTTGGCCCATCCCCGTAACTCTTTCTCGGTTTATCTCGACGAGCATCATACCAGGCGAGATGCCTCCATGCCTCGCTGCCAGAGATCCATCGGCCACGCCGACAACGCTCAGCCCCGCTGCTTCTGCTGGTTCCCCTCTTGTAGGCCCAGCCACCTCCGCTACCCTCCACTGAAATGCGATGCCCGCAGCCTGTCCGGCCTGTACGAAGACATCCGCGAAGGTTGTCCAACCGTTGGCTGGGACGGCAGAAGGTCCTGTGAACGGTGAGTCCTTGGAACTTGATGATACACCCGATGACAAGGAAAAACCAACAGCAGGTCTGTTGTTTTTATGCCTTCTCACGAGGTGGTGCTGCTTCTGCTTCTGCTGCTGCTGCTGCTGCTGCAGGGAGGGTGCCTCGACGTGGGATCGCCGATCTTTTCGCCCCAGAGGAGGCAAGTGCTGCGGTCCTGCAAGAAGCAAGGTGGAATTTGTGCGTGCGGCGAGATCATCGCGGGATATGTGTCTGACATTCACTTCATATCTTCACTTAGTTTTCGGGTCCATGTGTTTCGGAAGGTACACAGCAGTAGCCAAGAATGGGGAAATGTCGATTGGTTGCTGGTTCAACACAAGTCTAGCCTAGACTACATGCTCCAAGAAGAATGGATCAGCCCGACTTTGGTGTCACTCTTATGGACGCACCGTGAAGGTTGTCGGCGACATCGGATCTGTCGGTGCTGGTTCCGCTGCTGTACCTGGCGCGCTTGTGCTGTTCAGATACACGCACTAGTGAGTTTGATATCGCATCAAGCGATTGTGACCGAGCGAGAGGGACGCCTCGGAGCAATCCTTTCCGTCGTCGGATGGATCCGCCATATCCCTGGTGCATTCCGATCGCTAGCTTTTACGACAGAGTTTCTGAATGACCAGTGAGCACGACACGTGTGAGGTATGACATGTGCTGTAGACTCTGAGATCCACAGCTCCGCAGCAGCTCCACACACCACACGAGCTCCACCACACACTACACACGGTACCCAAGTTCGCGTGCGGCGGAATTGCTGTAGTTGGTGCGGGAAAAATATTCCGAATACTCTGCTTGTGACGTTTCAACAACACGAGAGAACCTTGATTACGCCGCACACGCCAAGCTTCCGCCATCCGCCACGCCATCCGGCCCGCGAGCACTGATTGAGGACCAGAGATCTCGACAGGTGCCTTGATCAAGATGACCTCCGTTGGTGCTTCGGATCTCGCGATGGCACCGGAATCCTCCGGGCAATCGTCTAACTCGCTGAAGAACCTGAGCTCGAAGTTGGTCAAGGGTCTCGGACATGTCCCCGCCCCAAAACCGAGGCTATCGACCGAAATGGCTGGTGGGATGGGCTTCGAAGGGAGCATGCTAGGGGAGGTTCTGGTTTCATACTCGATGAGCTCGTTACCACCGGCAAAACGGCATTCTATAAGCGCAACCTCTGCCCACTTCGAGCAGCTGGCGGCGGAGGCGGGGATCGATCTTGACGCCGATGAGATACACATGGAGGATCTTCGGATGTATCGCATGGAGGACGAATCTGGGTACGCGCTTGGTGGCGGGGGCGATGGTGACGGCACGGATGACGATGACAATGACGACGACGAAAACAACCTGCTCGACAGCAACAACCATCACACAAACCACGGCGGTGACGGCAACAGGTCAGGGAACCAAAAGCTCGCGCACAAGGAGCGCAGCATCTTGCAGATGGTGGACGTTCTGAGCGATCGCCTCACCAGCCTGAACGCCGTTGTCATCAACCGCTACAACGGCTGCAAGTCCGATCTCGACGAGGCCACCGAGTTTCGCTCGTCGCGAACCAGGGCGATGGCCGTGATTGCCGAGGAAGGCTGGAACAGCTCCACCCCGCGAAAGGGGACGGACAAAGCCAAGCAGCGATCGACCATTTTCAACCAAGGAGGAGGCAGCGGCGGGGGGGAGGGGGTGGACGCCAGCGATGCTCTAGCGGCGCCGCGAATGACGTTCCGAAATGCCCCCCAGACCGATGCCGGACGGAAACTTGCGCATCAATTCGAGCAGGAGTATGGGCTGAAACAGGTGTGCGAATATCTGTAGCATTCTCCGGAAACTACTGCGGAGGAACTGCATGCACACATGGTTTTCGTTTTCGCATTGGAGAATTCGCACACGGCAGTACACATCGTCAGACGTAACCCTCCAACATATTACACCATTGATCCTGGCGTGCATCCGCACTCTGAGAAGTAACGGCGAGACTGGGCACGTCATTTACGCCGGTTGGTCTGCATGGTTAACAGATATTCAAGTTTCATATGTGTATGCATACTTCTCGAGTATTTCCGGAGTGCGTAGAAACCGCTGCAGGACATGCTCATCTGCCAGCGGCATACAACACATTCAATACCGATGCTACCGGCAGGCCTCAAGCGCCACGCCAAAATTCAACAAAACAACGACGGGAAAGCTGAAGCGGATCGACCATTACAAGAAGAACGAGTCCCGAAAGCACGAGCGCCTCCACTTCGAGCGCAAACTGCAGTCGAACCTCGACCAGTACGTCACTCGCGCGGTCACCGAGCTCGTTTACCGCATTCCCGACGGTATGGCGGACATCGGTGACGAAGACGACGACGCGGAGAGGAGGGGGCGGAGGGGTGAAGGGGGAGGTCAAGACGGCACCCTTGCTCACGAAAACGGTACAGGAGAGCAACGCGGGGAAAGCGCGCACGCCACGTCTGATCCCCGTGCTCTTGCAGACATCATGGCACAAGAGCGGTTTCCCATCCCCATGGAGGTTAGAGAGAAACGAGAGATACAGAGCCTAGCAAGCAGTTCTCGAGTTGTTTCAAGGGGGTGCGGGAGGCTCAACCTCGCCTTTCCGGCGCGGCTAGCTCTATGAGAACATCGGCGTCATTGCACGGTCAGCGAAAGTTTCAAGCACAAAGGAAGACTTGCACAATTAGCTATTGCTGAGGTTCCATCTCCAATGTACCAACTTCAGGTGTACGAAACACGTTTGGTGTTGGACGATGGACCTCCCTTGCCCTTCCCTTCTTTCCCTTGTAATACGACCAGCCGAACGAGATGAACCCGAAGCTGCTGTTGTCCTACGCCTGCGAGCGCACGGTTCTCCCCGGCGGGGCGCGCATGTTCAAGCACTTCGCAACCTCGTTGGAGTCTCAGCACCTCTTCGTCTACGTCTTCTGGTTCATCCATTGCAAGTTTTTTCAGGTCAGCCTCTACGCCTGTAGGTACCGCACAGCAGTCGCGAGAAGACATTTTTCAAGTGAAACAAGGGTTAGCATGTCTAAGGCGTTGCAGGGGGCGCTCGGGTGATAGATCAGCTTCAAGATTGTGCCTGTACAGGCACACGTAAGCGTCTCACCCCGCGTCGTAAGACAAGCTTTGGCATGCACAGGCGATCACCATGATAAAGCGCAGGGCTCTCATGCAGATGCTTGGCAAGTCTTGCCATGATATTGGTTCTACCAGACGGTTCGTGCAGGGCACTTTCACGACATTTGGGCCCTACGGTACCATGCACTAACACCACCAACTCTCAGCATCCCCTCACGACACCAACCCGAACTTCCCTCACGTGCTTTGGACCTCCTGACACAATCAGCCAGATCGCCCACCCCAAAGCACGTTCTCTTTCTCGCTCTACATTTTACGGCTGGTTCTTTCATGCCGAATTATGACAGGAAGACAGCCGGCGGGAACAGGCGCACCTCTTGCGGTCTGTCTCGAACTGCTACGTGGGTGTTCTTGGGACGGACGGGATGGAGGACTACAAGGACTTTTTCTTCAAGCACTACCCTTTCCTCGTTGCAAACGCCGTCATCTGGGGTTTCCACTACCTCTGCCCCGGGTCTCGACACCTCTACTCCAACGCGTTTAAGCGGGTGCTGTACCTCCAGTGCGCGAGGATATTGAGCGGAATTGAGGTGAGAGGGAGACATAATAAAAAAGCAACAGCAGTATCTGATCCGAACTGCTAGCATCCACTAAAATCCCACCACGATACACAGGGGGTACAGAGCCTGCTCACGAACTTATTCGCGAACACGGTGGACAGTTGCTTGGATGACATTGTCCCGTAGTGGAAAAGGGGGTGAGGTGGCGGGGGAACATAGGATAGTTGTTTGTTGTACCTGTGGTATCACCGTGCAGGAAGAGCCCCTTTGAAGCCCCCTGCCCCGCCATCACCTCCCCGCCCCATCAGGTAACACCGTCTTGCACCACCGAGATGAGAACCAAGCTGTTTCCTGATGAGGCCGCAGAAGCCATGGACGAGCTAGATTACCACCCCCACCACGTTCACGCCCCGGGGACGCGAGCAACAACGGGGGCGAGCGTTGGCATGGCTGCGGCCGTGGTTGCGGCAACATCAGCTTCGGGAGGGGGGGGTTCGGGACCACCATCAACGGCCGGGGGGGGGTCTCCGCCGTCGGAAACCGAAGGCGGAGCCGGGGCTGGCGGGGGGAAGAGATCAACACCCAACGGGGGGGACAAGGAGGGCGGCCCTTCGCCGGCATCTAAAGAAGGCGGGAGAGGCGGTGGCGGTAGTGGTCCTGGGAAAGGAAAGAAAGAAGGGGTCGCAGGAGAAGAAGGAGGAGACGGAGCAGGAGGAGGAGGCGAGGAGGGCACCATAATTCAGCGGATGAACAAGACATTCCGGCCGGACCCTTTGATGGCGTACACTGGGGACCGGAGCACGTTGAGGTTCAAGCCGAAGAGGCAAGAGGGCTTGACAACGCTCAGGCCGCGGCAGCAACGCACCATCTTCGACGCGGCCCAGATATCGCCGATGCTGCAGGTAAACGAGGGCGAAGGCCAATTGCGTGGGTGTGCCTATATCATATGTGTGATGATCCCGGGAGTAGACTCAGCCGCTATGGTAAGCGTCATGCAGTTTGCCTCTGCAGCACCTCGTCCGTGATGTTTTCTGTCTCAGCTGAAACCGAGGTAACTCAGCGAGATCCCCTGTTCGAAGTCCGGCGTTGTCTTCCTTCTGCGTGACCAGCTAGCAATGCGTCGTCCAACAATGAAGATCTTTTCGTTGGCCAGCCGGTTGGCACGGTCGATGGCAGTTAAAGCAACACAGAAACAGCCGCCCTTCTTCGCGCCGCCAATAACCGAACGTCCCAGGAATACCTGAGGCAGAGCAGCTCCACCGCTGGCCGACGGTCTGAGAACATCGTCCGGACTGTGCCAGTGCCGTGGTGCCAGAGCGGGGGGTCCGACACCTACCGGCGACATCCTTCGAGAAAAGAGCTGCACGATGCCATGAATTTCGAGCATGCCAAGGCGAAGAGAGAGTTCGCACGGTAAGAACGTCAGGTTAGGGGGGCGGAGGTCCTTCTTCAGAGAGGGGGAGGACGGGGTAATAGAATTTTCAAGTGTCGACGAATCCAAGACTGAGAGAGGACTCACAGGGTGGGGGCACGCTACGGGGGTTGTTGAGTACGAGAGGGGAGAACGAGATGTGGTCGGGTGGGAGAGGAGTTTTCTCACGCTGTGCTTGTTGGTTGAGAACCACGTCGGGACAGTTCTTGGTGGTTGACGAAACCGTGATCCGACAGAACATAATTTGGTCGCGAGGGAAGAGTCAGTGGTGTACGAGGATGGCACAGTAATAACGGTGCGCCGCCGTGTCCAACGATTTCTCGTCTCTTGTTGAACTCAAACGGCGTCATTTCTACAGGGGAAAGGCGCAGGCGGCGAAAGCGCTTCGACGGACGCTTCGAAAGGTGGACGTAGACCGACAGTCGATCTTTAAGAAGGGGCCACGGCAGGTGGGGCTGAAGAGCATGGACATCGTTACCGACCTGCAACAGCAAGGAGCGTTCAAGGGATTCAAGAGATTGACCGGGCGCTAGCGGGGCTGGGCAACGGGGGAAAATAGGGTGTTCGCAGCGGCTACCTGGGTGTGCCAATTTTGACCGAGTACCGTTTCGATCTTGGTTGTTTCCTTCCTTGGCCGCTTGTCAGGTGTCTCTTTGAATGAACGAAGGAAAGATTGTGTTGTGTGTGGCATGTAACATGTGCGTGTCACCTGAACAATAGAGGTCTGTTGATGGCCTCAGGCGGTCCTCTGAGCAAGTGACGGAAGCGGAGATAGCCATATATATAGTACTACAGTAGTTCGCAGTGGGTGGACAGGGAGAAAACGGGTTTTCATTGGTGTCTGTGACATGCCTGGACCCTGGAGATACGCAGAGTATGCAGTCTTTGGTGCAGCTTGGTTTGTATTGTCACTCCTTGACTGTGCCATGAGAGGAATGGATTTTTTTTTTACCGTTTGGATCACCAAGGGCCCCCAACATAAACGGGCCGGTAGAAAGTACAAAGTAAAGCCCCCCCCCAAAAAAAGCTAGCTACGATGTTGGACGATAGATGCACATGCCCGCGAGCGGGTTCTCCTCGCAGTTATTTTCCGACGTTGGCAAGATCACGAACAGTTGCCGTGTGCAGAGAACAGATTCTTGCAACAAGGAATCACGCCATCGTGCCTAGTTGTGTGTGTATGTCGGTGTGGAGGTTGGTATGTCTTGAAAATATTTGGCCACCATCGGGCGTCCCTCGTGAAACCGTGTGTCTGTATCCTGAAAACAATGGCTATGAGCAAGCAAAGATCCCAGGTGATTTCGGTATTTCCAAACGATGGTTACAAGTAGTCCTGGGTAGAGAATGATTGTCAAGTTGGTACGAGTGTTTCGTATTCGCTACGACGGGCAGGGCGAACACGCATGCGTTTGTCTGCACGTGCTGCATAATTTCTGCCCTTGTGCGTCAGTTCTCACAGCAGCATAAAGCAGGTGTCCGTTAAAATACGAAATCAGCGAGCAACCGACAGCTTTTCGTAACTTTCCCAGACAGTCAAACCAAGGCTGTTGCCTTTGTAGTGTCTAGTTTACACTTTCAACATGGGCCACACCAATCAAAAATTACATCACAGAACACGCCAAGGACACACGCACACAGCAGGGCCTGCTACAACACCTCCACGGAACCACATTCGTGAACGCTGGTGCTGAAGCATCTTGCCCAAGAAAACATCGTGATGGTGTGTACATACATCTAAGACGGAAAGTTTCAAAGTTTCAAGTTTTTCTACAATATTCACCCTCTGAAAACAACCATGACAACAGCGATACCCCGTATTCAGCGCCTTATTTACTCCATGGATTACACAGAAAGAAAAACACTTTCGTATCCTCATACGTTTGGCGTCACCCGAAACACTCACAGCAACAAGCAACAACATCACGACCACAGCAGCAGCAGTCTTTTCCAGAATAAGCCGCTAAGACTTCGACACCTTTCGAAGGTACAGGATTAAGGATTCACAAACCAGGACGCACAAGTGGCGGCCGGGGGCTTGACAGGAGCCCACAGTTACATATGTATCTGTGTGTACAACACGGGGCGGGTCCCCATGGCGTGATCAGCAACAGCCGTGTTCCACCGGTCGACTCCTGCGTACCCTACGACGGCGACGCTAAATCTCCCACCAGAAGCGGTTCGGAGTTGTCGCCAACTAAGCCGCCGAACGTCGCGGTCTCCGCCAGCGAGCCCGCCGATGTTTCTTCCTCCAGGGGACTGAGCTTCCTCCCGGTGCCGCCCCAGCGATCGCCCAACAGGACCGGTCCCCCAAGAGCAGGAGCTGTTCCATCGCGCGACGACGACAATCGCTCAACAGTGTCATCAGGACACCTGCCTCCCGGGGCAAGCGGATGCCCCGCGGCGGCAGCGGGGTGGGAGGTAGGTTGCGACCATGACCTCGACAGTGTCGTTGGTTCCTGCGGCACAGCAAGCGACGTTGACCGGAAAATACCCTCGTCGTCCACAGCGATGTCGGCCACCGTCTTCGACAAACCCGAAGCGCGCAGCGAGCGAAGCACTTCCGCGAGATCTGCGGACGTGTTTGAACCCCCCAACGCCGACTCCACCCTGTCTGCGAATGCTGTCGTCCCTTCGAATTCCGTGCTTTTGTGCTCGGTGTAAGGCTCCTTCTCATTTCCAACTTGTCCGCTCCCGTCAGGGAAACCTCTCTTCTCCAACTCCCCGTCCCGCAGCGGACGCGGGGGGGCTGTCTCTGTTGGTCTTTCAACACGCCCATCCGCAATTTCCTGCTCCTGCTCCTGCTGCTGCTGCTGCTGCGATGTCAAAAGAGCAGTTCCCATCCGAGTCGGCTCCGTCGCTGCAACGGGAACGTTGAGGTAGAGAGATGACGACGACGACGACGATGACGACGGTGACGAGGACGACAGCAGCAGGCGGGATCCTCCCTGGTCGTCGCTCAAGCTGAGCGCTTGCATGATGTCGGAAACCTCGGCTTCGGTAAGCTCTCCAAACGGACTCCCTTCTCCTCCTCCTCCCCCTCCTCCCCTTCCAGTAGGAGAAACTTCAACACCGCCACCCTCTCCTGCAGCCGCGATAGCCGCTGTTGCTTTCGCCAGCCCCGCAAACAGCTCTTGCCCTGCGTCGCCTTGTTTGTGTTTCTGCGCTGCAGCATCACCTTCCTTTCGTGTCCAACTCTTCGCACCTTTGCCGGATCTCCCGTCTCCCGAGGCGCTGCCACCCCCACTCCCGTGCTGCCCAGCAGAAGCCTTGGTGCTGCTGTCGATACCTGTTCTACCAGCGAGACCGCCCACCACGTCGGGTGCAGCAGGGCAGGCATCGGCAGCGCCGGCGGCAGGCGGGGCAAGGGGGGGGCGAGACCTCAGGTCGTCCCACAGGGTCTTGAGGAAGGAGCGGAAGGCCGACTTGAGCGCGGCGAGCTCTAGCTCGGCCGCGTCTCCGCTCTTCTCGCTGTCCTTGGCCCTCCTGACGGCGGCCTCGCTGGCCCGCCTGAGGCCTCTCCACTTGGCCTCCGCGTCCTCCCGCCAGCGATGGCTCGAATCCTTGAACTGCTCGTACTCCTCGCGAACTGACAAGAGCTGTTGTGGCAACATCGTTTCGAGTTCAGGCGAAGAACAGGAGTAGGGCGTTTGATGCTTGACCATATCAGCTTTCGTCGCATATTGCTTTCAATACGTAATGACTTGGTTTTTGGCGGGGATAAAGCACAGACGTACACGAAGCAAACATTTCTTGCATATGGAAGAGGACAAACGCTCGACGCACGACAAAAGCCCTCTGCTACGTTCATCGGCCAAAGCACGAAGTCCATCCGCCCATCAAGGCAGGATTTTAAGTTCCGCTGCCCTCGCAAACCAGCTAACTACGGCCAAAACTCGCCTGCTTCTTGGTGGCACGGTAGGCATCGTCCTTCCTCGCGACCGCGGCACGGAGAGTCCCGGCCTCCGCTTCCAGCCTCTGGAGCTCCGCCACCTGCGCGTCGATCTCCGCTGTCTTTTTGGACAGCGACCCGTGCCACCCGCGCATGCTGGCCCGTAAGCGGTCACGCTCGGCCCTCAGATCTCGCACCGTGGCCGTCTGAACGTCGCAAAGAGGGACCGACGGTTGTAACGCTGCCCCGACGGCTTCACCGGGGCTGTCCGCCGTGACGGCGTCAGTATCAGGAAGGCTCCCCCCTCTCGCTTCGGCAGACAAAACTCTACCACCCAAGGTGGTAGTGTTGGCGTTCGTTCTCGCAGACTTAAGCGCCACGATCTCTGCCTCAAGCGCGGTGACTTTCTCTCGGAGGGCCTTGACCGTGTTGCCCTTGACCCCCGCGTCCCTGAACGCCCTGGCAAGCTTCTCTTCCTGGCCCGCCGCCTCCTGTCGCAGTCGCCGGAGGTCCTCGCCGAGAGCAGCCTTGGCCGCTCGAAGGGCGACGATCGTCCGCCCCCTCCGCTCCGACTCCTCTCGTATGACGCCCAGCTGCTGCGTCCGAAGTTTCAGGGCTGCCGCTTCGGCATCCCCCCCAGCTGCTGCTGCTGCTGCTGCTGCTCCGCCCCCTCCTCCTTTCCTTGGCCCGCCTTTTTTCCCTGCCGTGGGGGCAAGAGCCGACGACGCTGTAGCCGTCGACCGAAGCCTCTCCGCCTCGCGTTTGTACGCCGACACTTGACGGCGGAGCTCTTTCTCTCTGGACCGACTCTCGTCCGCGCGGTCGGCCGTCTTCCTGTGTGCGGCCAGCTTCAGAGCGGCAGACTCCCGTTGCGCTCCGACCACGAGCTCTCTGGCAGCCAGGCCTTCTTCCCTCAACGTCGCCACTTCGGCCTCGGCTGCGGCCAGGCGGGCGGCGCAGGCCACGCTCGCAAGACCGGTAGCCTCCCCGGTGCTCTCTGTGGTGGTGTCCGTGGCACAAGAGGGAGAAATGGTAAGCGCACCTACCTGGCCGTCGCCGTCTCCTTCGACGCCAACCCTCTCGGTTGGAACGGGGTTTGCGGCGATAACACCTCCGTCTTCCCGGAGGAGAGCGTCCGCCTCAGCGGTCTTCGTGCGGAGCTCGAACTCGAGCCGTTGCGTCCTGGACCTCGCTTCAAACACCTCCTCGTCGGCCGCGGCGAGTAAGTTCAGCAGCTCATCTGTCGAGAGCGGGACACTGGAAGAGAAAGCACACTGATAACCGCCAGCGTCGCCGCCGCCACCGCTCACCGACTCCCGTCCCCTCTTGGCGGCAGTCTTCGGTTTCGGCCGAGCCATTGCCTTTATCTTTCGCGTGGTTCGTCTCAGCTTCTCCTCGAGGATAGCAACTCTGGCTCGGTGAGCCTCGACCACCCGGGCAAGCTCCGCCGCCACTTCCTTCGCCTCCCTAGCGTGCAGGCGCCGGACTTCTCGCAGTTCCCGCGCTCTGACCCGTAGCCGCTCCTCGGCCTCCGCCAGAGACGACCGGTTCTGCTGCCGCTGCCGCTCCTCCTCCTCCTCCTCCTCCTGCTGCTGCGCCCTTGCCCCCGTCGCAGCCGTTCCCTCTTCGTCCTCGTCTGCTGGCGTTCCTCTTGCACCCGACGATACGGCCGTCGCATGACTACAAGCAGCGGCGGCAACACCGAGAGGCACCGGCTCATCCTCCTCGTTGCCTTCTTGCTCGTTGTCTTCGTGAAGGGCGCGTTCGTACCTGCTGGATGCATCGGTGTGGTGCGCATTGGTCGGGCGTTCGACGTGGCCGACTGAGGCAGGTCGTCACAACCCCCCAAGCGACGAGCAACCTAGTTTGGGAGACGGGTGAAAGGTACCATACCTTTCTTTGAGCTTGGCCGTCGCTTGCCAGTGGCTCCGCTGTTGTCTCAGGAGCTCCGTCCGCAATCGAAGCACTTCCTCGTCCAGGTTGCCCTTCGCCGCTCGTTCCTCCTGAGGGCAGGCGTTTGCGGTCAGCGCACAGCAGTCCGACAAAACCGATAAGAAAAATATTTTAGGTACTATGAGGGAATCGAAGAGTGCGTTCGCCAGGGTTCGACGACGCCGAACGGTTGACCGAAGCCAGGGGGGAGGGGGAATTGCAGCAGTCGTGCACATTTCAAGCCGTTTGATGGCACGGCAGGCTTGTGTCACATCCCGCCCGAAGGAAGCCATTTGCCACGCACGAAAGCCTTGCAAACGCGCGAGGAAGCTACCGTATGCCCTTTGAGGCAAGCACAGATACCGTTGTTAGATCCCACCTCTAGCAGTTCCTCGGTGACCTCCGCCCGATGGCCCAGGTCAAGCACTTGCGCCCTCAGCCCGCGCACGGCCTCCGCCCACGCGGCTTCCACCACCGTTCCCCCATAAGCAGAACCCGATCGAATCCACCCGAGGCCATCGGGTGCTCCATCGGTACTCTCTGCCACCCCAGCCGGACCGTTGCCGGCAACAACGGCCTCCAAGCGCGCCAGGTTGGCTTCCAGCGACTGCACACCGCTGCTAAGCCCAAGCGCGGCTGCAGTGGAGGGGGAAGACACCCGGTTCCTTCTCTCTCCTTCTCCTGCAGTTCGAGTAGGAGTGTCTGTCGACGTCGTGCGTGCTGCCGACCGGGCGGGAGATGTTTCTACGGCACCGGCGTCGTTGTTCGCGGAAGCACTGCTGTTGCCTGCTGCGGCTGCCGGTGTCTCGGGTTGCGCCTCGGCCGCCGCATCCAAGGCGGCCGACGATGCCGCTAGCGCGGCCTTCCGCTCGATATCCGCGCTGGGCACCAAGAACAACGCCCCGCGTCCAGAATCAGTTAGATTCACCACCGGGCGCCTTGCTCGTTCGGGGGTTAACCCGCATGCGGTACAGTACCCCTTGCTGCTCCACGCGCCGCGACCACCGCCGCCGCTGCTCTCGGCCTCTGGGAACAGTCGCAACGCGAAACGCTCTGCCGCTCGAGTGACCGCGTCCCCGACTTCTCCCCTCGCCGACGCCTCCGCCAGCTCGAGCTCGAGGTGTTTCAAGGCCGCCGTCAACGCCACCTCCTTCGCCACCCGCTCGCTCGCCACGGCTTTCGCCTGGCTGCCACGTGTTGACGTATCTCCCGCCGCCACCGCCGCCGCCGCCGCTCCCGAAACATTCCCCGGAGAGCTGGTCGACCCCGACTCCCGAAGGCTGAGGCGCTGGTGGTGGTGGTGGCGGTTGCTGCCGCTGCCGCTCCCGCCGGACGTCGACCGCCCTAGCCGGTCGGATGCTGCCAGGTCGTGCTTGAGTTCCTCGATCCGGATGTCTCTTCGGCGGATGAGGTGTCGGAGTTCGGCCTCTGCGGAAGCTGCGCCTTGCAGACGCCGCAAGAGGTCGGCTTGTGCCACCTTGGCAGCTACCTTGTAAATTCAGGAGGTGTCGGGGGTACGGGAGGAGGAGGCGGCGGGGGGGGGGGGGGGC